GTCACAGCTGATGACAGACTTTCGGGGGGGGTGGGAGGGTCGTCAGGAAGCCCAAAACACTAACAAGCCCTGGATTTGCCTACGGTTTACCCATTGTGGCCTCGGTCCACGTGGAGGCCTGCCACTCCCTGTGCCGTAGGTGAACGCATCAATCCTGCTCCGACTCAGCTTCGGGACAAAGCTCAAGGTTAAAATGATTTTAAACACTTTACCTCAGATTAACTTGTCAAAGGATTCAGGTTTCAAAACTAAACCATTGCTTATTTTGTTGCACTCTTTAATACTCATGCGATTTTGCAGTCTGAGACAGCTATGCAAACCCTACTTGACTTGTTCCCAGTCTGAGCCAGCATGCCTGGCTTCTGTGTCTTTTGCATCCTCAGGACAGTCACCTGCTGCTGAGTAGCCACTGTCCTTCCTAAATGTGGAGAAGTGAAGTACGTCACCCTTTCAGGGAAATTCAGGCAACTACTGAAACAGGGTGGCAAGGAGGAATTCTACCCTGTGCCTTAACGAACAAAAAAACTGGATTCTGGTTTACAGTAGCTTTATGGTTAAACCAGTTTACCCAAGGGGTGATAAGGGGCGAGGGAGGAGCAAGCAAAAAGGGAGGAAGGGCTCCTGGCCCCTTTCTTCTAAAAAATCCTTCACCACCAGGGCTGGCTCAGACCCCCCCCCCCCAAGCATCTAACGGCTGGCTCATAAACTATCCCGCAAGGTTTTGGGCTTGTTCTTGAGTCAAAATGGGAACTAGGAAATCTGGTGCCACAACTAGTGAGAAATTCCTTTAACAGCCCACACTCAGTGTTCCGTTCCAGCTGCTCGCTGCTTCATTTGAGGAGGAATGTGTGTGCGTACACACTTGGGCGCACATCTCCAACAGCTGGGGGGTGGGGTCCTGCAGTTAAATCTCCATCTATACTTGCCTTTCACCAGGGATAGAATTCACAGGGGGGCTGGCTCCTCCCAGAACTTTCAGGCGGAGGCTCAGAAACAAGGGGGCAGTGACAGAGTGGAGCCAGCTGCTCTGGGTGCCAGCAGAGACATTTGACACAGTCACCAGGCTGGCTTCTAGGAAACTGAGAGTTTAGCACAACTTAACATTTATAGACACATCACTCAGAAACTAAATTTAAACCCTGGCCTACGACTAACTACTGCCCGCCTTATCTGGGGTGAGGGTTTGGTTTGCTCCCTCTAGCCATTCTCTGTGCTCCCGGAGGTCAGACTTCTGTTAAAAACAAAAACTGGGGGGGGGGGGGGGGGGGGGGGGGGGGAGAGCAGTCCCTCTTCACCACTTTAAAAACCAATGCTCCTGAGTGTTTTCACAGATCGCAAAGCAGATCCATTCCTGATCCAAATGAGCGGTCTAAGGACACTTTTCTTTCCTTTTCTACACAAGGCATGTTTCTCTAAGTAATGAATGCTAAGTGAGGTGTGATCCAGAAAAGTAAGCACTGTTCCTATTTCTCTTTTAAAAGAGAAAGCTCATTCTAGAAAGTCAATGCTCACAAGTCACTGGTACAGATTTTCCCCTCGTCTGCACAGGAAAGGGGCCAAGTAGCCAACAACCCAAGTTTTTCCCCTCCCTGTAGCCAGAAGTGTAAACATCTGGGATGTGACCTCTTTAAGGTAGGGGCACTCACTCCTTAGCTTCTCACCATACAATTCTCAGGTTGATGCCAGGAGGCAAGCCAGGCACAGCCAACCAGCAGCTCTGACCCACTGGCTACAAAGGACAAGATCAGACTTCCGTGACAGATAACTGGGAGTCACCCACCTCTAGACTGCTTCGGTGTAAAGTGTTCAAGGAAAACGCTTCCTTTTTAAACATGTCTGAGTTGCCAGGACAGCTCAAATACCTCCTGGAAAAAAAGCCCCCTCATGGCCTGGGAAGAAGTGACACTGAGCCAACGCCTTTACTTTCTGCTAGAGCAGGTTCAGCTCGAGGGAAAGGCTCCCTGGGCTTGATGCCTTCACAGCCAATGAGCCAATGTCCCCGCCAGCCCATCGTGGTCACAGCATATCCCACCACCCTCCTCCTCCTGGCCCCGGTGTGACCGCTGCTGGCAGCGAGGAACCAACAGCCCCTACCGGGAGCCCAGGCTCTGAGTGCCAAAAGGACGGTAAGCATCATGACCCTCCAGTTATCTCCAATCACAAACAACAAGGATAGCCTGACTGCTCCCAGCACCATCACTTCATTCTTCCGTCTTGAATCAACTTTTACAAACTAATAGTCACCAGCACCAAAGAATTAAGTCAACTAACCTGCCTTGAATTTTAGACCAGCAATCCATATGGCTTTATCTGGTATAAATCTTCTGCCTTTGATCATTTCTGGACCGTGTAGGAAAAAGGAATAGCAATCATTAAAATCTTAGGCCAGAGAACACTATTTTTACATAACAGTTTCTTTAACCTAAAATCAAGGCCTTGAACTCTTCCCTAAGTGTTGCCTGGGATTCCTTCACGCTTTTAATTCAGGGCTACATCTCTTATCGCACACGTCATGTGAGCTCCAACATCTCCCACAGGCTAGAGGAACTTGATAGTATAGTATCCACTGCCTCTTAACAAGGACACATCTGACATCCAGCGTTTGCTTGGAATAAGCAGCACATTATAATGACAGAGTAAATGGATCCATTCTGTATCATCATAGGCAGAAAGTATTTGGCAAATTTTTATGTATTGTTTATGTACTGTACAAGTAACTTATTCTTGAATAATGCAGATTTTGCTATAATGTACAAACTGCTACACACGAATTAAAAAAAGTTTTCAGAATCTTGATTTGTTGCCACAATATTTAAAGCTCTATTATAACAGGACTGTGGTCTCTGCAAGACCCTTGCTCTGCTCAACTACTTGCTTTTCCCTTTGTCCTCCTCCCACAAATTTGGAACATTAGCAAATGCTTGTGAATCTACAGCAATAAGGTACTTTGTGCATCACTGCTTTTCAGCTCTCGGGATTTATCAGTTTCTTTTTAAGCAGTGTCTCCTGCCCTCTACTGGTAAAAGATGGGTGAATCAGGAAGACTTGTGACTAACAACACTCATTTGGGTTCAGGAGATATTAAAAAGGAAGCTTACAGAACCAGCGTCAGGCTGAGGATGTGGGATCTCAGTGCTGCCCAGCTCTGGCCAGCCTTCCTCCTTCTGGAGCGGACCTTTATCCACCAAAGAGAATGTCTCAGTCTTGTCTTTTTCTAGAGATACCTTGAACCAGAACTAAAGGTGAAGAAGAAAAGTCATTTGACAACTAACCTTCCAGGATTTAAGAAAGTACACTCAGCCCTCCTGCCTTGATATGAAGTATCCTATAACAGAAACATCTTAAGCTTGTACAAACACACACTAACTTGGTATCAGTTTTTAAAACTTTTTTTATTTTTTAATTTTTTTTAAGTTTTTATTTTATATTATCTACAAAGTAAAAGTTTTTTCCCTTAACTTAAAAGTTGAACCACTGTAGACAGTGATCACTTCATCAAACTTGATTTATAAATAATAACCCGTCATTTTGACGGTAAGAATTTACTGAACCTTTGTCAAGTTTAGTAAAAGGGCGTTCCAAGTCTTGATTTTTTTTTTTTTTTTTTTTTTTTTTTTTTTTTTTTTTTTTTTTTTTTTTTTTTTTTTTTAGCAGTAATAGCAGCAAGAATCAACTCTTGTTACTTCTTTTGCTAGCTGATGTGTTCATGACTTTCGAGGGTCATTAAAAAATAAATAACTTCCAGTTTCAGCAAGCAGAGCTGGGGTACTCGCGGGACTCTGAAACAGCATATGGAATTATGGAACAGCCCACAAGTTCCTAAATGCCTCTACTCGGTCCAAATATCTTCCACTGCAAGTGAACTGTTAGCATTCCTATTGGATGTTACAAGAAATCAACATATATTTTTTAAAAACAAAATAAATGAAATTCTAGTTTTCTGTGCTTCCAGTTGGTAGAAGCAGTAGAAGGGAGGAGGGAATTTGGCCTTTCGGTTCCTCCAGGGCAGCCTTACAACTGCTGTTGGTGGTGGGCTTGTACTGTAAAAAAGAAAAGTGAATATTTAAACAGGAAACTGGCAACACCACACATTAGCCTAGTGTCTCTGCAGCACACGACTGTAAACTATCCTCGTGCTACCTGAACAAGACTCAAAATTTAATCCACTCTTCCCCCTCCCATCTGCACCAAAAGGGGAAGGGGCAGGTGGGTGGGTAGAAACAAACCAGTCAGATGGAAAACCACTTCAGATAAAACTCCCAGAAGACTTGTTGCTCACGGGGTAGGAAAAAAAGGCCTTAACATACCCCCTCCCCAAATACCAGCCAAGCACCAGTATTGCTTTCAAAGTAACAGGTTAGACTGTGAAATATTGCCATGGCAGCCATCAAGTATTAGAGCACAATCACGGGGCATTCTCTCCCTGTCAGGGCATAGGCTGGAGCTAATGCTACACTCAAAACCAATCCACACACAGCACACTTTCTCATCAGTAGTATTCTCCAGAGCTACAATCAAACTCTGCCATGGTGGTAACCACCCCCGTCAGACTGGGGAGGGGGAGACTAAGGAAGGAAAACGCTGCCCTGTCCAGCCTCTTTAACAAGGAAGGCCAACTGAGTCCTAAGCATGCGTCAGCCACACAGAATGCTGCTGCTGCTTCTCATCAAGCCAAACCCTGTATACCATCAGAACACACACAGACTCAGCTCCTGGAAGCCTCAGGCCCTGACACTGAACTGATCGTCACAGTCCCTCCTGTGCACGCTCTGGCGGGTCTTGCTAGTTCTCAAATGCGGGGCTTGAAGCGCTGGCCCTGCCTGCCATTCGACCTGTGCGAGCAGAATGCTTTGGGGTGCCCGGCGGCCCCTGCACACACACGCCTCACCTGAAGGGTGCGTCATATAGGGGAAATGCGCTGTTGTCGAGACTGGAATGGGCTGTAGTGCACTTTGAGCGAGGGCGGCCTGGGGACCGCCGGGTGGCTGTGTCGTCATTAGCATCATTGGCGCATGGGCAGTTGGATGAGAAGGAACCATTCCTGACTGTACATGAGCCTGAAACAGAGAGCTCTTTTACGCATACAGGCAACATCTCCAGCTTAAACAACATGTCAACTGTGTTCCTTTCATTGGGCTGGTGGGGCAGGAAAGGCCGACAGGGGGGCCCTCAGGGCCCTTTTCTCTGAGCACATGCCCTAGTGGATCATCAAGTGACCTACTGACATGCTTCACCCTTCAGCGGGTCCAGGGAGGCTGAGGGAGCAGGCGCCTACTGAGCCTGAATAAAAATAAGGGCTGCAACATCCTGGCCTTCAACATTTCTGATTGCTGGATTCTATGTATGTGGGGCAAGGTCATCACAAAGTTCAGACATCTGATCCAAGGGCAGCTTTCTCAACTTAATAGGAGGTGAGATGCAATGATGCTTCAGAATCTGGCTTCCAAGTGGGACCTGAAGTAGTTTAAAGACAACCTCCCTTTTAAATAGGAAAGCAGATAATAAGAGTAATCCATGGATTACTTAGCCCTCTCCTTGTCTGTCCCTCCCCTCTGCTTCCTGCCAGCACACCAGTACATCTCCGTGAAGAATGAGTCAGGGCAGCGAAAGACGTGCTGACCGAGCAGGAGGAGGAGGCTGCAGTAAATGGCGCCAGTGAAACGGGGAGGAGTAAAGTGAAATTATCTGGGCCAGACCTGTGTCCCGAAACTAAGTTATATGATAACGAGTACAACCTGGTTTCACTGTCAAGTTGGAAAGGTTTCAGCCAGCCCAAATCACTGGATCCCAGCTCGGGGTGGGGGGAGTGGGAGTGGGGTGGGGGGGGGGACTTGGCAGGGCCAGGAAGAGCCCTCCTTTCCTGCCTCCCATACTGTGCACTGTTCTAGACCACAATAAGCCTTGAATGAAATGCTCTTTTTACTCTTACGTATTCAAATGGGCCCATGGCAGATCTGAACTTCCCCAAAGGGGTTAACCTTTTTCTCTTTCAGCACAAAAAACACAAAAGTGAGGTTTTAGGAACCCCAACTTACATGTAAATTCACATACCTACTTAGCCACCAGCCTCTGCTAGCCATCTACAGGACCCCAGCTCTCATGAAGCTCCTAATTCAGCCAAACCATGCTGGCCCACACCTGACCAAACTGGCTCCCCTCCCCACTATCAAAAGCAAATCATCCACTGCAGTGCGCCATACTACAGAACCCTCACTTGTGCAGAGGACGCCCAAACTTCCCAGAGCTGTCGAACTCTAGTTACAAGGTCGCATTCTGAGATTGAGCTCCAACTGAGTCACATCTTCAGCCCCCAGCACACCAGAGCCTCAGTGGTGCACTATCCAACATGAAATGGAGTTCAGTGAGGCAGTCTAGCTTAGACCTCCCCAAGAGAGTTCTGTTATGAAAGCGGCAAAAAAAGACATCAAATACAGCCAATTCACTCTGAACAGCTCCAGGGAGGGCCTCAAGGACAGCATTAGAGCCCAACTTCAGTGAAGCTCCTTATTAAGATAATCCAACTTGGCCCTTGATTGCACTGGACTTTTCTCAGCAGCTGATACAGCCAGCAACCATTGAGATGGCAAACCATACCCTTCAACCATTAGAGGCTTACACTGGAGGTGAGCTCCAAAGTGGCTCCCAGGCTGCTCTTTAAGAAAAGTGGGACACCTGAGTGCTTCCAACTTCTAGTTACACTGCACCAATGTAACAAGGCCAAGCCTTTTCAAGAAGTACAACATATGGTCAAAGTGGGTGTACCGACAGGCAAGGAAAACAAATGGAGAGGTTTCTCCGAAACTCGTGTGACTAACATTCAAGCTGACAGGCCCAGGGTTGTCACCTT